TGATGTTATACTGTGACAATCAGGCTGCAATCAATATTGCCCACAATCCARTTCAGCATGATAGGACAAAACGCATTGAAGTTGATAGACACTTTATAAGAGAAAGGGTAACAACTGGAGAAGTTTGTTTGCCTTATGTCTCTTCAGAGTTGYAGYTGGYTSATGTTCTCACTAAAGGGGTGGCAAGGAACAAGCTTGAACATGATCTACGCAAGTTGGGAATGTGTGATATTTACTCCCAACTTGAGGGGGAGTGTTGAAGATTAATTAGTTTTATGATGTTTTTCTGAGTAGATGTTTTATGTTAGTTGTTAGATAGGAGGTGGGGAYCACAGTAGTTATGTGAGTCCAAATTTTATTATGTTTTTTTAGTGTTATATATGTTGTTTTATGTTTTGCCACCCTATAAGGGCATAGTTGTCTTTGTATTGTTCTATTATTTTAGTATAAAAAATAAGTGAAGGGGGTGGCCAGATTATTGCTCTCTTTTCTTTCAACTTCTCTTCTTCTCTTCTTCTCCTCTCTTCAAGAACCTACTTTCTTTCATATTTTTTAATTCAGCAGATTTCTACTTTGTTATTACTTAATGAATATGTTGTCCTATAATGTTTTGCAAGCTCACAACTCTCACATTTCAAACTAAACATCTGGACAGATTCAAATAAACTAGGAAACAAACTTTTCAAGGCCTGAAAGGATAAATGACCCATCCTATTGTGCCAAAGCATCACCTAATCAACAAACTGAGAAACAAAGGATTTCTTAGCTTCACTATCTTCCTAATGAGCACTTCCTCCAAGTAGGTAGATTCCATTCGTCTCACGGCCAGTCCCAATCACCTTCCTTGTCTCCAGATCCTGAAAAACACATCGATCAAGAAAAAAAGTTACTAAACAATTCTGGTTTTTTGTAATGCTACTAACTGAAAGCAAGTTAGTATTAAGCTTAGGAACATGCAAGACGGAGGATAGGGAAATGGCATCAGACAACTTGATGTCTCCCTTGCCAGAAATAGCAACAAGGGATCCATCAGCAATGGATACTTTGTTTTTGCCAGAAGATAAATGATAGGTAGAAAAAAGTGATGGCAAGCCAGTCATATGGTCAGATGCTCCTAAATCTATTATTCAAGAATGTTTTGTATTACCTAAAGCTGAAGCATGATAAGCTGAGGCCCGATTACCTAATTAAGCAAAGGATGAGGTTGAAGGAACTGATGGTGGCTGAGGAGATGGTACTGAGTTACTTTCATTTTCTATTTGTGTCAGAGCAGCTCGGACAGTAGCTAGGGTGTCTAGAGGAGTGCCTCTTGAGGCCGTTAAGGCTGTACTATCACTGTTAACAGCCATGTTGGCATTCCCCATTTTGTTTCTAAGCTTTGCTGAAAATAGATGTGGATGCAACTTCTGACAAGTGTCTTTAGTGTGTTTAGGTTTCTTGCAATGTTCACATACTAGGTCCTTCTTAGCTCCTTTTTTCATATCCCTTTCTTTATCACCCCCAGACTTGGGTTTAACTGCTGCCAGGGCAAATTCGAAGGGTTGCTGCTGCAACATAACCTTTCTCCTAGTCTCTTCACTGTGCACTAGGGAATAGGCTTGAGACAGAGTCACACTCTCTCTTGTCAACAACTGTTGTCTCACAATATCATACTCAGAATTTAGACCAGCTAGGAACTCAAATACTCTGTTAGTCTCAACTTGCTTTCTGTAAGTCTGTGCATCTTTCTGACTCTCCCATTCAATTGTTTCAAGGTGGTCAATTTCATGACACTGAGATTTTAAGGTTGAAAAATAAACAGAGACTTGTTTCTCTCCTTGTCTGAGATTTCTAACCTCACATTTCAGCTCATAAGCCCTAGCAACATTAAGGGGCTGAGAGTAGGTTTCTTTTACAACATCTCATATTTCCTTAGCTATTTTTGCCCATAAATAATTTCGGCTGATCTGTGGCTGCATGGAGTTGCACAGCCATGCCATCACCAAATAATTTTCCTGAATCCAATTAGCATAAGTGAGATCCTCCTTAGGTTCCTTCATATCCCCCAACAAATAATTCAACTTTCCTCTTCCCCAAATGGCCATCATGGCTGATTGGGCCCATTCTAAGTAGTTTGAACCATCAAACTTTACAGTTGTAATCTGGAAAGTGTTCTCAGTCATGTTACCTGAACCAGTCCCAAAAACACCCTCCCCTTGGCTTTTAAACTCCATTATTGATCAGAAGTAAAAAAAAAAAAAACACTTCCTAGTTACTGACCAGTCAGCCTACTGGGTCTGCAGCTAGTAATAGTGGGTCTAGATGTAGGATTCTGGTTCAGCAAAAGAAACCTTAATTACCGTGACAGTCGGCCTACTGGGTCTTTGAGACTGATAGCAGTAAAAAAGGATTTAGCTGTAACAGTCCTGCTGAAACTGCTCTACTGGGTCTTCCAGAGGGCAAAGAGTAACTTTAAATCGAGGGAGACAAGTCTGATTACCTCCCTGAAGCAATAACAGTCCTGAATCTTGAGGGTTTTCTCTTAAACCCTAAAAAGGAATACAGAAAGGAGAGATTTTTCTTAACCGTACCTCTTGGCTCAAGGTATTCTTGCTGCCGATCTCAAGAAAGATTGGAATCTTACCAGGAAATTCTGAAAACTCTGATCTTGATCAAAAGCTTCTGGAGTTCTGATTGTCTCTTTCAGTCTTGAAGAGAAAAAAAATCTGATCTTGAACTAGAATTCTTCTGAAATTCTGATCGCCACCTCTAGTCTTGATCAAGAACTGATCTTGATCCTCTAGTCTTGAAGAGAGGAAAAAAAAACTGATCTTGAACAGAAATCCTCTGAAATTCTGATCGCCACCTCTAGTCCTGATCAAGGACTGATCTTGATCCTCTTTTCTTTCTCTGATTCTTCCTGGTTATCAAGGATACAGTCCAATCTTTGGACTGCTGCTGTGGATAACCTCCAAGAATCATCCGAAGAAAAGACTCTATTCTTCCAGCCCTAGGCAATTCTCATGTGGTCGGCTGGAACAAACTCACATGAGAAGCCCTAGATCCTGCTCTGATACCAAGTAGTCATACAAGACTACAGATATCTTTTAGATTTTGAACAGAAAATAAAAGAAAAAGGAGAAGAGAAGAAGAGAGATGGAGAGGGAGAACTCATGGAAGGGTTTTAGAAAGAATAGAGTGGTTGGTGTTATGAAACAGCTGCCCCACTCTTTAAATTTATATGCACAGTTGTATAATTGTAGTAGGACTTAATGCTTACATAGCAAGATAAGATAAGATTAACAACTAATCCTACTAAAAAACTAATCCTAATCAATGACTTAATTAAATCTAAATACAACTCAGGCTGTCATACGAGTACACTAGTGTGGGGTCCACAGTTTCCTACAAGATTGAAACGAGAAACGAAATAGAGAAAGAAAAGGACCTGGTACAACTGTGCTAAGCCAAATTGGTGAACATCTTGAATTATTATAGTGTTTGCATTCTGAATATCAAGTCCACTTTCAACTATATTTGTACATATAAGAATCTTAATATCTCCCTGTGCAAACTTTTCCATGGTTTCTTCCAGCTGCTTTGAGTATTGCTGCAAAAATATAATAAATAAATATATAAACATAATCTAACAAAAAGCAGAATCAGAACAAATAATCTTTTCTGCAAAATAAATGACACAAAAAAATCATAAAGCATAAAACTGACACTATACTGAAAATAAACAAAACTTTCAATGATGAGCCAAGCATCATATATCATGAAGATAAACTATGTAAGAAATTGTAAAAAAAAGGAACGAGTCAGTTAGAAAATATAAGAAATACAGATAATTGAATACGTAGTATGACACATAAATATAGAAAGTACAAATTCTGTCTTCACTGAGATTTCTTATCACATAAAGAAGAATTTAATTCAAAATCACCATTGGCACATCACAATTGAAGTATGGAACATAAAGGGTATAAAGCAATCAAAATTATCCACAGAGAAGTTCTGGAAGGATCACTCTGAATTTTAAAACATATCAGAAACACCCGTTAGAAGTGATCTGTTACAAGTTGAAGAGGATAGAAGAGCTAGGGCCAGACCGAAAAGGAATTGGGTGAAAGTGGTAAGAAAATTAACAATGGATATGGCACTGAACAGAACAGAAACAGCATTCTTCCAGCCAACCCCATATAGTTGGTACAGGCTTAGATGATGACAACGATAATCAGAAATTATAAGCCAATGGAAAAGGGAAAATGTGCATCAGAGACCTGTCAAGTCAACCTGGACTGTTAAAGTTTAAAATTTACAATGTCACATATTTCTCAAAATATTGATATATAATGCACCATAGCATGAAAACTTTTATGCTGTATTGCAAAATAGTGCCTTATTTTGTAACTTTGCATGATTATGATGTCTTGTGCTGGTAGGCATGTTCTAGAAGGTTGATATTTGCTGATAAATTTTGAAATTTTAAGACCACCTTATATTGATAATGTTTAGCTAAAGATAGCCAGCACAAAAACATGGTGAATAAAAGAAGATTCTACCTTTCCATGCGCAATAGCTATTTCAACATTTGAAAATGACAGACTAAGAAATTCTTTCACTTCTTCTAGTCCTGTGACATCAGAATGGTAAAAAGGTCAACATCAAATAAACAAGAAATAAAAGCAAACAGTATTAGATACTCTGCAACCCCACTAAAATTGAAAAGAAAGTTACCAAGGCCAAGAGTTAAGATAATATACATAAGTTACAGAAAACTATTCGCAAAAGAAGTACCACATGAAACTGCAACTAGAAATATGGAAGAAAAAATCCGACTGTCAAGACTCAGGTTGGGATTGGACAGGCATGGACCTCATTTTTCAGTGGGCCCACATCAAGTTCAAATCCACATCTCATGAAGGTCGTGGGTTACTCCAAAGATCATCTTCACCAACCCTATGAGTAGGCTTTATCAATTAAAATATTATGCTTGCCATTTGTGCTTTACAAGACCCCATAATCAGAATAAACACATTTCATACAGAGTCTAGACCTTATGCTTTAATTATCTTAACCACATAAAAGAATTTATACATATATATTGCAACTTCTGTAATACTGGAAAGGAGAAGTACCTAAAAGACTTCAACTAATCAAAACCCCTCATGAATTTGTGTGTCTACACACACACACACACACACACAGCAACATTAAAGTCCAAAATGTGTAAAAAAAATCTCAAACTATGAACAGGGCAACACCCCTAGTTCTTACAGAAAGTATAACACATCCATGCAAATTTTGAGAACACAATTACCTTTAATACGGGGCAGAACATAGAAAACTTTGCCTCCGCGGTCCAGCTCAAACTTGATGGCTGATAAAACCTTAGCCTTACTATATGCTGAAAGATGAGTTTTTATGGGAACTCGTTCTGGAGGTGGTGTTGAAATTAAACTGAAATTAAAGTGGCACACCGTTTAGTGGATCTTCAAAAGTTCAAAATGAATCAAAAGTCCTTTTTTTACCAATGAACATTTTGTTGATAATACATGAAGTAGTTCAGTTGAATATATCCAAACAAATGTCAAAGCCATTAAACGGGAAGTCTAGATTGAAAAGCAAAAGGAACAAACAAGGAACCTTGTGTGTTCCCCTCTCTCCATCCCTCCTGCCCCTGCCCCACCCCCTCTCTCACTTTCCCTCCCCCCTCTCCTTTACCCATTCTCCCTCGCCCCCCTCCTGTACACGCACATTCACACATAACCAGTATTCCGAAACCAATCCCAGGTGTCAGTCTGGTTTCCCTACTGGAATGCAGGTCAACTGGGTTGACCTGCTTCAAAGATAAAAGTTCTTAAGGAATGTCAAAATATTTGGTTGTAAGGTATACAGGCAGTGTTGTTATTTTAGGAGGAAAATTTATATACAGGGACTTTAATATTGTAAGAAAACCCTATTCGATTCTAGGTTAAAGTAGAGAAGAAGAGAAGAAGGGTTCGGCCAGATTAGGAAGAAGAAAAATCAGTCCTCCCTAGCCGACCCACTTGTATTTATTTCAAATAATAGTTACAAGAAAGACCATATTGTCCCTCATGAAAGATGGGACACATAACTTAAACTTAAATAAAATAGACCCTTCACTCTCAAACAGATAAATCAAAATGACCAAAATACCCTTGATTCGTGTATTCTAACACTCCCCCTCAAGTTGGAGAGTATATGTCATATAGTCCCAGCTTGTCACAAATATAATCTACTCTGCCCCGAGACAATCCCTTTGTAAAGAGATCTGCCCACTGATTTCCTGAGCTCACATGAGATGTGGTTATCACTCCACTTATCACTTTCTCTCTTACGAAGTGACAATCAACCTCAATATGCTTAGTTCTCTCATGGAAGACTGGGTTGGAAGAGACGTGAACAGCAGCTTGGTTATCACAGTATAGTTTCATGGGTTTATCAACTGAGAACCCCATCTCTTGTAACAAGTTCTTCAACCATACTACTTCACATGTGGTATGAGCCATAGCCCTGTACTCAGCTTCTGCACTACTCCTTGCCACCACTGTTTGTTTCTTGCTCTTCCAAGTTACAAGATTGCCACCAAGAAATGTACAATACCCTATAGTTGATCTCCTATCTGATA